CTTTCTTCTTCCCCACCCTGCTGAAACCATTTTCTCCTTCTTCTCTCTAAAATCTCCTCCTCCTCTCTAAGAAAACCTCACCATTTCTTCTTCCGATCACCTCTCACGCACCGCTGGAACACTCCCGGCGTCAAGAGCTTCCATTTAAACCGATCGATTTATGATTCTGAGCCGGTGAGTCTCTTTCTCTCTAGTGCGTTCGTTTAAGTCTTGCATGCAACCCTCTATTTCTGGTTGCCTGAGTAGATAGTATAATTCTGAGCGTTTCTGAGTTTCTATGTGGTTCAGTATTCCTAAAACGTGGCCGTCGGACGCTAAGTCTTTGGTAGTAGGGAGCTTTAATCCTGCATAGTTGAGCGTTCGGTTACGTGTCGAGGTAAGGGAAGCTTATATAATTTGATTAAATTCTTGTTTGAACGTTGGCATGTTTGCATGATACGTTGTTTGATTATTTGATGAATATGAGATTTGTGTGTACTGCTTGTTTGAACGTGTGGATGGATGAATGATGCATGTTGTGAATTGAGTTGAGATAGGAATTGATATTCAAACTGAGGTAGTCTGAGTAAAGGTGATAGTATGGTCGAGCGTCATTAGCGAGCGTTCGATTTTTCTTGGGAGTGCATGGTCTTACTTGAATTATCATGCGTTAGGGATAGTGTTTAAGAGTCTTTCTGTAATATTATATAGGAATAGGTAAACTGTGACCGAGAGTTTGTATTCATCGTTCAGTTTTCGTTGAGCGTCCGTTCATGTTAAGTTTTTCTTCTAGAAAGGATTTCGTTAATGAAGAGCCTATTATAATAGTAGATATGTATATATGAGTGTTCAGTATAATTGTAGTTTTTCTTTAGACTTCCTAAACAATTTAGTTAAATGTGTTATATACTACTTAAGTTCGTAGGCATTGTCGTTCTTTTTCCTTCAGAATTAAGTGGTGGCTCAATTGTATAGATTTATATTCATTTGTTTTATGTGAGTTTATTAGTGATCGGTCTTGAATCAAGCGTTAAGTCTCAGTAGCGCTCGTTCATGATAAGCATTTGGTCTTTGACCAACGCTCGTCCAATAGTGTTCGGTTTCTACATGGCTCGGTCTTAAACCAAGCACTGGGTCTTGTTTTCTGTAATATATATTATTACCGTTCTTAGAATGAGAGTCTTCATTCAAACTCAATAGCGTCCGTTACTTCATATTTTCTCATCAGTATTAGTATTTAGTGTAAATTAGTGTTGGTCTTTAAAAGGTGTTCGGCCTAGAGTCTTAGTACTCGGCCTAGGCTTTGTGGCGTCCTGTTGAACTCTTAGGAGTCTGTTTATTGAAGTAGATGAGTAGCGCTCAGTCTCATTAGTTTCTAAGAAGCGTTATTCCAGTGGTACTTGGGTTATGATAAGAGCGTATGATCTTATTTCATTTGAATGTATGGATGATTAAGTATGAGGAAAATTGAGATGTGATGTGTATGAAATAGTTGATTATGAAAGAGTATTCCAGGGAGGAATATCTCAGAAAATGGATATTGATTGGTAAAGTATGAATGTGGGCAAAGCTTAGCGGGCGTTCATCCTGATATTCCATGATTACTCGTTCTCATGTAGAGAGGAGTAAGTCACGTGTGGGAATGGCAGGAGGTCCTAATCCATAAGGTTAACTTGGACGGAACAGATCAACCTCGGGTGGCAGCTGTTGAGGGTATCCCAGTTACTACATCACCCGGGTGCACGAACGTCGTAGCTACACAGGATTCATACAGTCCGGACAGTCAGAGTCATGTGGTCGTTCTTTGCATGCATGAATGTATGAATTATGATGTGGTCGTTGTTGGTTTTGTTATATGTTGTATGTTGTGATTGAATAAATTAAATTACATAAGCTTACCCTGTTTATAATTTTTGTCTGTATTGTGCGTCCTGTCGTTGTCCTTTTGCAATGATCATGTGAGCAAAAAGAGAAGAACTGTTTGAAGAAGTATTGAAAGATGCAACGAAAGTGAAGGCCGAACCTTGAGAGCGTTCGATCTGGTGTTGGCGTTATCTTTTGTAAAGACCGTGCGGTATTAGTATATTTTTGGTAAACGTTCGGTCTGATAGTAGCTAGCGTTAGTTTTTAAATTCCCTACTGTTATGTAAGGTCGTTCGACCGTAATGGTAAACGAGCGTTGAACTGATCTGTAGTATTGTTAACATGTGATTATTCTCTATATGGTCTTACACTGTATTTTTGGGATGTTACATAAAGTGTATGAATTTTTTAATTTATTAAAAAGATTGATATTTAAAATTGTTACGAAAAAATTGTAAAAAATTTTAGGTAGTTTTGAAAAACATATATAAATTAATAGTATAAAAAACATATATCGGATATGAAAATCCATATATATTTTTCATAGTTTTTTCTTCAATTTTTAACTATATTATTTGTAAATATTTATTATATTGTTTTAAAATATTTTATTATATTATTTTTAAATGTTTAATTAGATAATTTATATGAATTTATATAATTGATTAAAAAATTAAATTTATTTAAAATTGATAAATTTATTTAAAATTGATATAAAAATTTTAAAATATTTTTTTGTAGTCTTAAGTATTATTATTTTTGTGTTTTTTTTAAGTATATTAGATTATTTAAATATTGAATTATTACAAACAATTAATATTAGTTCAAAATATTTTTATTTAATTAAAATATTGATATAATTACAAAATTATAATATTTCATCAAAAAAATAACAAAATAGCTTCAAATTGTAAAAAATAAAAAAACTACAAAAGAAATAAAACATTAAATAGTTTAAAATAAAAAAATTAATCAATTTAATTAATTCATTAAAAAAATTAAAATAAATATTAAATATATACAAACAAAATTATTTAATTCATAATTAATTTAATTAATTCAAATATTTATATATTTATAAAATCCTAATATTTCATTAAAAAACAACTATATATCTTAAAATTATAAAAAATTTAAAAATTATAAAACAAATAAAACATTAAATAATTAAAAATAATAAAATTTAATTAAAATATAATTAACTATTTAATTACTATAAATATATATGTATCAAATCATAAAATTTTATTAAAAATAAAGCAATTTATAATCACCAAAAATATAATAAATTAAAAATTCTATTTAAAGTACAATTAAATCATTTAAAATAATTAAATTCAAACTGAAAACAGTGGATTTAGAAACACGAGCAGACTTAGAAAATGGATTCATGTTGGTTTGCGTTTCCAAATCCGTTTTCTCATGACACAACTTCTGTATAAAAAATCTCTCTCCTTTCTCTTTCTCTCGTCTAAACCTTTTATATACAAATCTTAATATATATCTAACATATTTATATTGGATATGCAAGTGTGAGTCTAAGTCCCACATTGGATAAAATTGAGAAAAAAAAAAGTATATAAAGACTATATAAAGATGAAAAACTCCTTAATCAATTGTCTTAAGATTTTGGATAAAAAGTTGTGTCGATCCCTTATATAGTTTCCAATATTATTGGTGTTTGTGTAACCCACAGAAGATTCTAAATAATATATATATATATATATATATATATATATATATATATATATATATTACAAAATCTAAAATATATATTTTTATTTAAAATATATTTCAAATTGTACTATCTAAAACATGTTTTCAAATTTCACAACCTAAAACTTTAAAACACGAACAAATAGTTTTCAAGCACTTCAAGAAGTTGCACAAAGAAACCTTGAGTTTTGAGGAAAAAAACACAACATTCTCTTACTATTTTTTAATAGCACTTGCTGAAAATTAAAAGTTGATTTAATTTAAGTATTAAATTACTTAGGTTAGCTTATCTAGGTCCCTTGAAAAGAGATGTATATAAAACAAATAAAATTCCTAAAAAAATTGTCTACAAAATAAACAAAAATATTAAGTAAATATTATAAAAAATCCAATCTACTATAATTTACTTATTTTATTTAGACTTAAATATATTTTTTTGTCTCTAAACTATTTACTAAACTTGCATTTCGTTGTTGTTTTGAAGTATATATCAGTTTCGTTCCTCAAATTTATAAATAAATATAAATTTACTACACTTTTTCTTCTTATTACACAACTTTTTCTGGTGGTGACAGACTTAGAGGTATCCCTAAAGGTGACGAGCTTGGTGGTGGTGATGGTGGTTATCAGGACAAATCTCCACCACGAACTTTCACCTATAACTACTTATTCGGGGAAGGGGTTAGAGTTATTTCAAATGTCTTGAAGTACACCCTAGAATGGTGTTGGTTGGGGTTGAAGATCTTTGTCACAAACTTCTCTCACGATCTTTATCAAATTCCTTTGTGTGTTTAGGGTTTGTTGATAAACTAATTGGGTTCTCAAGCCGATTTTGAAGATAAATGGTTTTTCATGAAAGTAGTTGGAAAGTTGAAGAAAAATCAAAGAAAAATAGGTTTATCATTCTGGATCATTTTATCCACTTCTTATGAATATTTTTAATTAGTGACGAATAACAAATTTAATAAATAGTTTGAAATGAAAAACATATTTAATCTTTTTATTCGCTATTATGTGTTTTTCTTAATTATAAGTACCCACTTTATTGAAAGCTTAATTCAAATACATACAGCTCATTAATTAAAGATGTACTTACTAATGATGTAAGATGACATCATTGAAAGTCATATACATATTAAATTTCTATTCATAAATATAAATGATAGATTGATATCCACACTTTTGAATAAATAAACAGTTCCATGACCAAATGAATAAGAAACTAAATAAATATATAAAAAATTGACATAAAAAAATAATAAACATATTAGAAAAAGATGTTCTTCTACTTGTTTTTTTTTTAATTAAGGTAACAAAGAGAAAATTTTCATCTTTAACCTTATTTTCTTATTAACACTTACAGAAATTGAATATACAATTAGCATTTGGTTTTAGACCAACTCTTAGTATCCAAAATTTATGCATCTACCACAACATCACAATCATTGTTGCAAAAAACATGATGCTATCTTGATTCCTCTTGTTCTCAAGATATTTTCAACCAAAATTTTCCACCTAATTTCATCTTTCTTGCTTTGTTTTGATATTCGTTCCTTAAAGTTCCTGAAATAAAAAGAAAATGTGTTACTATTGCAGTGGATGAACAAGTTGTAAAAAAGTACATTTTCAATATAAAACACATATTATTATTAATTACCTGCATAAAGGAACTCTACAATCGTCCGGATTAACACATAATCGAGAATGTAACTCGAATAATTGCCACATCCTCTTGCAATGAACACATCCTCCGGGAACTCTCAACTTACATGCAGCAAAATGACGAACAAGCAACTCTAATCCGTTGCATGCTGAATACTTACATGGTTGGTTTGCTTGAAGATCTTTATCATAAGGACCAATAGTTCGACAACCATCTTTACATATGTGAACAAGAGCTTCCATGGCCTCATACAATTGTAGATATACCTTTTTTTCATTCATTTTTCTGATTCTTTCCTTTTTTATCTGCGTAATAAATTAATGTAAAAGCAATTAGATAAATGACTTGTTAGATGTTAAGTTGTGTGTTTCTGTTAATTGGGCTTAGCCCATTCTGTATTTAGGGTTTAACCCTTATCTTACATTATAAATAAACTACCCTATGTGTATGCTAAACACATAAGGGAGATTTCTCCTAATCTTCTTCACTATATTTAATATGACTAATCAAATTTCACACCACACGGTAAATAAAAAAGGTTGAGTTGTTTATTTCGTAATATATTTGTCCTTTTATTGAGTTTTAGTTTTCACAGACAAAAACGACAAGTTTAGTTCTTAATGTGAATATAAATTAAGTTTAATCTACATTGCTCAGACTATAAAGAGGTTGAATTGTATAACTTTGCAACAAAAATATTTTTATCGATTATAAATTGTCATAAAAACTACTTTAGATATTTATATATTTTATTTTACACAGGCTAAAATTTAAAATAGAAACAAATCTAAAAAATAGAATGGATCGGTTAGCCAAGATAAAATGAAGGAAAAATAAAAACATGGTCTTACAGTTTCTTCATTGATCATTGACTCTAGAATTTCCTTTTCTAGAAGTGGGTGACTCAACTTCATTGCTTTCCATCCTTCTGACTCTGAAACAACTTTGAAGTTTTTCAATATCTTGCGATGACAAATGAGACTAAGTCTTGGAACATCACATAACAACGCTAGTTGAAACACGTCAACCAAGTTATCCATGGTGAGTAAACCCAATTCTAGTCTTTGTTCACATTCACACTTTAAGTGAGGAACCATGTATACATGTGACAACACCAACAAATGTAGAACAAATTCATCCATATCTTCTTTCTCGTATCTATAAAACAAATTTAACAATGTTTTAACAAATGTATATTAAAATAATATATTATAAAGAAGAGTAAAGACAATGAATTAAGATCAAAACCCTCACTATCATGTTTGATTACATTAACAAATCAATTACATCTAAGTGTAGTAAACAAAATTCAAAATATTATCAAACATTATTGTATAATTGTGTGTGTTATTAATGATTTACATGACATCATGACAAAGGATCAAACATACCTAAAAGTGTACAAATATCGAATAAAAACTTGAACTGCATCATGTGGAACCCCAATGATTGATATTTTTCGCCATCGTCCATGTCGATGTGCTTGCTTTAGCATGCCTTTTAAAACAGGAGAAGCCATGGCCTATTCAAATAATATGAATTAATGACTTCAACAATGGAAGAAAAAAATATTCAATGTGTTTTTAAGGACTGATCATATAATGTATTTATTTTCCGATGATTAATATCATAAAGTAATATAAAACATTCCAAATATCCTTAACTCAATATGAATGACTTTATTTTATGTGTAAACAATACTTTAGAAAAATTTAACATCATATCATAATCTCATAATACGATCATAAGATGAGTCTTTAATGGAATAGGATGAATGAACTTACAATAATGTTAGAATGAGCATAAACAACATCACCACTGTTAGTGTTAATGCAAACATCTGCTTTATAACCTTGATAGAAAAGGCGCTCCCACAAATCCTTTCTTGACGAAGAGTCGTTGTTGTTTTGTGTTCTTGGTTTTGAATTATAAGATGTCTTACAATCGTAAAATGAATTGATTGATATTGAACGTGGCATAGGAGGTGATATAGGAATTAATTTATTGACATTTTGAAGAGACTTAGAATGATCGTTAATCATGTTAGTCATTGTTTTACGCTTTTCTTTTCCTACATAAACAAATATAAAATGTTATTTAGTAAAAAAATTACTATTTATAATATAATTCATATCACATATAATTAATTTTAAAAAAAATATTTATTCTAATTTCATAACTCAGTTTACATTTAATTTTAGACAATATTTTAAGAGCAAATAAGAAACATGTGTATTATATACCTATGTAAACATTGAATTATCATTTAATAATGCATCACTTTAAACATCGAACATTTATTTGAATATAATATTTAAATGTTTTTATTTTTAAATCTTAAAAAAAATGAAATCATCTTTCTAAGTCTTCGATGAAAATATCTTAGATCCTTATTTTTTTATGTTAATTTTTGGTTAAAATTTGTTTAATTTTTTGTACTCTTAGTATAAAAAAAGAAACATGAGTAATAACAAATAATCCTATAATTTTAAAAATAATTATACAAAAGTTAATATACAAAAACATATTACACATTTTCATCCATGAAATTCCATTCCATTTTTTTTAAAGATTAAAACCCAACATCGTTTTACTTTCAAGTGTCTTGTTCTTTATAATAAATATCATCAGAAGCATAACAAAATATTCATATTTTCTATGTATATGATATCATTTACACTATCAATGTTATATGAAATGTTTATTATTATTATGATCTTGTTAAAATATAAACCTAAGCTGATTTATCTGATTGTAGCTTCACACAAATAATTGAAAAGAAAGTATCATATGAAATTTTATCCACATCTTTAATACACCAAGGTTGGTGAAGTGGGTTTCATCTTTCTTTATTTTTTCTAAGAAAATTCTGATATATTATATTTATTTTCATAGTTTTAAATATATTTCAGAAATAATCAGTTCTTTAACTTTTGAAAACCAGTTGTCTTAATTGACTGTTGTAGAGAGATTTTATATCAATTAATTAGACAAAAGCAAACTATTAACTAAAAAAATCTAAAGCTTTAATGGATCTATACCTCCAACTTAAACATCTAAAAATTCATACCAAATACTTTATACCATATCCAGAAGTGTTGGTTCATTTCATAAATTTCAGCATGACATTAGAAATTGCAACAACAGCAAAGTCCAACAATGATGTAGAGTTTGTGATAAATTAGTATTTATATATTGAGTGTTTAATTTCAAATAAAAAATGTATTTATATATCATTTTGAGAAAAGTTTTTGTAAGTTTTTGCATATTGTCTCTCAGCAGGTTTGTAAACAAACTGCATAAAATAATCGAGATTTTTTCCATGTGAAACAAATGAAATTTCTACATACGTGAAAAGGATCTAAATGATATGGTTTATGTGGATCAATTGACAATCTTAAATAAACAACAAAAGATAAACAAATGAATATCAATAGAACAAATTATGATCCAAATTAATAATGAAAAATAAAGAAAGAAAGTGAACTGGATTACCTGGTCTGAACTTTTAAAGTGCTCCTCTGAATATTGTTTCAAAAAACTTACAATCCCAGAGAGGATAAAAACACAACAAAAAATTGTGGAATCACAATAAAATCCTTCAAGACCTTAATCTTAACTAATATAATTAAAATAAATTATTGAAGTAAAACTCTCCTTTCAAGAAGATCACCACCTTTTGCTTTGCATAAGAAATTCAAAAATGGGTGAAGATTGGTGATGCAAAAGAGAATAGGAGAGCGAGGAGGATGAGTTATCAGAGCCTGACTGCAATTTTGCATACGTTTCCATGAAAAAGGAAACATAAAGCTAAAAAAACACCTCAAATCTATCCCCCACTCGTTTTTAGCTATAAATATCAACATCGTTTAATAACACTGCCATGGTGCACAAAGTTTTTTTTTCTCTCACAAAATTATTGTTGTTTGCTATATTTTACATATTTTCAAATAATCGTGCATGTCAGAGTTGTAATACCTCATCAAACTGGCAACTGTATGTTCATTGTTGTGTTTTGTTTTTTTGCAAGAGTCTCACATTATACACTTGTATAATGAGAGATATAACATGTTTAAATTATAATTAAAAATGAAAAGAAAAACACATTTTACTAAAATGGTTTTTATTGAAAAATAAACGAGTTAATAAAAATACTTCAAAATATAGTATATGCCTTTTTAATATATTTGATATTGATTAGAAATTATCATCTCCATTTTATAGCTCTTTTAAAAATTGGAGATTTTCCCGCATAAGCAATTCGTTTACTTTTAAGTGATTTAATTAAATTTTCCCGTGTCACTTAAAAGTTTGTATTACTTCAGTTAATTATTTTGTATTATAAGTTTGTATATAATTTTCACGTATACATCTATGTAACACGATTTGTTTTTATAAATTAACTTTCATTGTAATTTTTTTTAATGTGAAATAACTTTTTACATTTAATAGTAAAGATGCATAATTGTATTATTTATTTCATTTTAAAAATATAGATGTTTAATTATTATTATTATTGATATTATTATTAAAATTTGTTATTGAACATGAACAAGCAAGTTACTCTTAGATAGACTAAGAAAGAAACAAGTGATTTGAAAAATATTTACTAAGTTTTATGTTAGTACAATTGAATTTTAGGAATTTAAGTGAATAAAGTTATGCTAATATAATTGAATTTTAAGAATTTAAGTCAATGAAAATTATTAACTTTATTTCTCATTGATCTAAATTTAAAAAAGTCATCCACCATTAAAAACATTACTAACTCAGACCTTTCCACGATGAATATACAACATCCCTTCTACCAAGAGATATTGAAAGTCTCGTCCTAGTTTTACCTTGTTCAAAATTCTCAACCCAATATATATAGAAGCACGGTGTGTTTTTACAAATTCTATATCAAACAAATTGAAAATAAAGATTAAAACCATTAATCAAACAAATAACTAAATTTAAAGAAAATAAATAAACTAATTAAGATCACATAAAATAAATCTTAAACTCTAAACAAAAGAAAAAAATAAATAAAATTAAAAAATAAGGAGAGAGATTTTTTTTACCCTATTCAAAAAGTTCATATAAGGTATTTAGAAAAATTTGGGAATTAAGGAAAAAAATTTGAGATAATTACTCTCTCCACACCACATAGTCCTTTCTGCACCTCTTCAACTTTTACTTATTCCAAAAGTAACATTATCTAAATATTTACTTTAGCTTTTACATATTTTAATATAAAATCTTTATCTCATTCCATTTCCTTTTTCACTGCTGCAGTACCAACCACCACCCTCACATAACCTTATTACTCCTTTCACCGTCTTCTTTCTCTCCTTCTCTTAACTCTCTCACTTCTTTTTTTTTCGTTTTCTCCTTCATTTTTTTCTTCCATTGTCACTGACTCATGTGATAGATCTGATGATAAAGGTTTGTTTATGCTCTTTGTAGCAAATGTTAATTAGGTAGTTAGTACTTGTTGTTGATCACTGTAGCTATAAAAAAAGAGTGGAAGCAAATGGAGAAAGGGACAACTAGTAGTGAAGGAGAAGCAAAAGCGCAATACTTCTGCAAGGACTTCCACTGGAAGACCTACGAGCAAAGGTGGAAGCAAACCCTTCCTATGCCTACCACTTTGAATCCGCGTCTTCTTCGTCATCCGTCTCTCCACCCGAATCATGACGTCCTAGACATGGAAGCAATTTCACCTCTCGTCACGCTCTGGAAGATTCTTCAAGGTCCCTTCCTTTTCCTCTCGCATTTTTCGCTTTCAAATTTCCAAACCTAACGCTTCTTGCCATTCAGGAAAGACGTTATTTGTTGAAGGAGTTCCCAAAATTACTCTCCATGTCCCCCAAACTCTAATTTTGGAAGTTGGTTGCGGCAATGGCAGCACTGCTCTTCTATTCTACTGTTCTTTCTTCACCTTTTCCTTGTCTTTTCCCATATGCATCAACGCACCAACTTTTATTCACTATTTATCGGTAGTAGATTTAAGTTTGTGTCTGGATTCCAGCTCAAATTTTGTGTTGAAATATCCACTAAAGTTATTAACACTCATATTCTAATTGCCTCAATTAAGGTGGTTAGTACTTGTTGTCCTGAAGAAGTTTTTCTCTCCATCCCAGACAATATCAAGATAACATAGTCTTCTCGGAAAACGTGTCCTTTGATTCTCCGGTTCAATCAGTTGTTTTTGACCTATTGAAAGAAAATGTGACATTTGATGATCTGCATAATATAAAAAGACCATGGATGAACTTAAGAGAATACTGAAGAGTTCAATAGAATGCGGAAGAGTTTAAAGCTGAGAATGCTGGAGAGTTTAAAAGAATGCGGAAGAGTTTAAAGCTAGGTGGTGAAAAATTAAACTGTAACAATATTCGTTTAATTACCGAGATCCGTTTATGCTTAAACGGACTTAGAGATCCGTGAGAGGATGTTGATATCTGATTAAGAATACAACTGATACTCACATACGTTTGAAGATATAAACAAGATATAAATTATGCTGATGAAAATTAAAAATTTTAACCACAATAAATTAAATATTAGATAAGGACAAAAGGAGAAAGAGAAGGTATAGGAAGTATTGTGTGGTGGTGCAAGGAGTAACACTCAAAATTTGAAGGTGGAGAGCCTTGTGCTTTGAATTTTAAAAAGGCCCAATGAAGACGAGAATTTGAAAATGAATCTTTTCCCTCCTCTTTATGAATTTGAAAAAAGAAGGTCGGAGGTGAGTGATGTTACAGTGGAGAAAGCGTGATGGAGAAGAGGCTTCGTTCTTCTCTGCAATCCTCAGCGGAAGAGTTCATTTCCTTAGCCACCAAACAAAACCTCAAATCTTCAAAATCCTCATTCAAAACCCTAATCCATTCCATTAAACCCTCCTCTCCTCTGTGTACCTCTCTCCCTTCCACCCTCTCCGATTCCATCTCCGCCTCCGTCCAATCCTTCCAGAACCTTCCACGGTCCAACTCCGAACAAAACCCTGGCTCCCCTCACTGTCCTCCCTCCAAGCGTCGCCGAA